AAATGAATGAATGAAACTTAGCAGTAGCGCTTACCTTGCATGGGTGAGATCCCAGGTTCAATCCCTGACACCATAGCATAAAAGTTAATTTGTTACTGTGAAAATTTAACTGTAGACAATTAGGAATAAGCATGGAAGTTGATGGTTCTATAACCTGGGCTAGGAAAATCTTTCACTGTACAGTCACGAAATGTTAGTATTTCATAAATGGTGCTCGGTTAATTCTTCCTTAACTTCTGTTGTGTTTGGTGTTGACGCTCATTTAACTGTTTCTTGTGAAAATTTGAATATTTTTTATTCAGCATATTTAAAGAAATAGAATATGATTTCGTGAAACCTTCTGATTCTTTTTAAAGTGATAAAATCTGCCATCTTTGAAATGGATTATCAGGAAATTATGAAAATATGCCACAAGTATTGATAATTATTAATATTTAATATATTTACTGTTCACATTCCTTTTTAAGAACTGTTGTGTTGGGCCAGTGTGTAGTATAGCATTTGCCTTAAATGTATGCGACCCTAAGTTCCATCTCCAAGCACCACAGGGTGTGGCCCCCAAAACAAAAACAACCCAGCTGATGTGCCATTTAAAAATCCTTACTGTGGGGACTTGAGTTATAGAAGAGCAGGTAGAGAGCTTGCCTTGCATACAGCTGACCTGGGTTCAGTCTTGGCATCCCATATGAGCACCGTCAGGAGTAATTCCTGAGCTCAGACCCAGGAGTAAGCCCTGAGCATCTCTGGGTGTGATTTTTTTAAAAAAAATCCTTATTAGAGGGGCCACAACGATGGTACAGGGGGAAGTGCATTTGCCTTGCACATTGCCGATCCAGGTTCAATTCCTGGCACCACATTGGTCCCCCACATGCCAGGAGTGAACTGAGTGCAGAACCAGGAGTAAGCCCTCAGCACAGCTGGTGTGCCCCCCTACCCCCCCCCCCCCAAAAAAAAAGCCTTACTCTAGGGATGCTCCCTCTTGAATTCCCACACTTGTGGGATTGGCTTTTTCACTGTTTTTTCTCAAATGTTTTCCCCTCAAATAAAATAAAACTGCTTACTATATATTTTTACTATATATTTGTCCATATTGCTTCTGTATGAGGAAATTATGAACAAGAGTAGAATTGCTTGAGTGGGCCCAGTAACGTCTCCATTTTGAGTCTTGTTGTTACTGTGTTTGGCATATTGAATACATCACGGGTAGCTTGCCAGGCTTTGCCATGTGGGCAAGATACTCTTGGTAGCTTGCTGGGCTCTCCAAGAGGGGCGGAGGAATCGAACCTGGCTCAGCTGGGCCGGCTGCACGCAAGGCAGATACCCTACTGATGTGCTGTCGTTCCAGCCATGAGTAGAATTGATCTTTTTTCTTTTTTTCCTTTTTGGGTCACACCTAACGATGTACAAGGAGTTACTCCTGGCTCTACACTCAGGTTTTACCCCTGGCGGTGCTCAGGGGACCATATTCTGGGAATTGAACCCGGGTCGCCTGCGTGCAAAGTAAATGCCCTACCCGCTGTGCTCCAGCCCCTAGAATTGATCTTAATGTTTAAAGAAGCTTATGTTACTTTCCTTTAGAGCAGCTTGGAGTACTTTGCAAAACCAGCACAGCACATGTTTGGCATGCAATTTGGTACTTATTTTTGAACAAAATGAACAAAATATTATTTTAGGATAAATTATATTTATTCAATAATCAGAGATTTGCACATTAGAAGAGTAAATATCTGAGCACAGATTATTTTAGGTCTTATAAGTTGGAGAAATAGTGTAAAGTGGTGAATAAATGTTCAAATTGAAAGAGAGAAAAAAGAGATGATTTTTACTTTACTATCAAGCATGTAATTGAAAGATCTTTACATAGACCTAAATCTGAACTTATAGGTTCCATTTTTATATTACCATTTGCATACTTCAGTATTAATGAGAGAACTGAGAATTTTCTTTGATCTGCTTTTGCTATAAATATACTTTTATTAAGCTATTGCATAAAAGTTATTAAAGAAAATTTAGTGGTACTATTCAGGTAAGTTAAATTAGCTTTTTAATTATCATTAAAGAAAATTTAGTGGTATTATTCTGGTAAGTTAAATTAGCTTTTTAATTTTCGAAGCTTTGGAACAAAAGGGAAAATAGCTTTTTCTCAGCCTCACAGAATAACTTAAATACTGTTTTTCTTCCTTCCAGCTCTTCTATCCCATCTCCAAATATATGGGAATATATATATCTAAGTTTGCTTTTTGTTTTGTTTCAGGGCCACACTTGGTGGGGTTCAGGGCTTACTCCTGGCAGTTCTCAGGGGGACCACATGCAGTGTCAGGAATCAAACCAGGCTGAACTCTGTGCAAGGGAATAAACTCTATACTATGTCTTCACTCAGTGTATCTTTTGTTTGAGTTGGGGTTGGGGAGTAGTTAGGTTGTGCTGGGGATTGAACCAGGTCTTAGTGCATGCAAAGCAGTTGTTTTACTTTGAGCCATGTCCCTTTTGTGCATGAATCTTTCCTAGACATTTAATTCATAGGGGAAAGTAGAGGGAGGAAAATGAAAAGTTACCCAAAAAAAGAAAAAAACAAAAAAATTCAAAAATATCAATCTTCACAACAGTGAACTAATTTCTTCAGTAGAAGCATCATTGTCAGGGCCAAGGATGTGGTTCAGTGCTCCAGTGTCAGCCCCGAATATGTCAGGCTCTGGGTTCGTACTGAGCACCACACACATTCACAAAAAGCAGTTATTATGAAACTGGATTTATTGACACTTTTTGTAAAGCATATCTAAAACAAAAGGATACATAAGTGTTAGAAGTAAAAGATACAGACCAGTTCTATGATAGAGCAAAGAAAGCAACTATACCAATATCAGACAAAATAGATTTAAAGACAAAGAATTATTTCTAGACAGAGAAAGATAAAGGGAGCTGCTTTCCTAATGATTAGATCTGGTTCACCAGGAAGAAAATAATTTTAAACTTATATACACACAATAATATACCCTTAAAATAGGCAAAGAAAAAATGACCAACTTACAAGAAAAAGTAGATCTTCCTCCTGGTGGATAGACCCAGGAGCTCTCAGTAGTTAGTAGCAGAGTCCATGAGGAGAATGGCACTGGAACCTGTGCAAGTGGCCCTTGGTGTGGCACCTACCTTGCAGACACCAGGCTGGGAGCGCCTTCCCGCATCGATCCATGCTGCTGAATGTGATCCTGCCATTGGCGAAGGTGTCATCTCTGGCACACTGCAACCGAGTGTGCAGCCCCCGGGCATCTCCGCAAATATAGAGGCAAGGGAAGGGGGAGAGAAGACACAGGGGACCCCTTCACCCCCTGGTTAGCTTAGTAGGAGAGTGAGTTCCGTTCTCCGCAGGCTGAGTGTGATCCCAGACCCACAGTATAGTATGACCTGTCCACATGTGAAATGCCAGTCATCGAGGCAGCAGAGGAAAAGGAAAGAAGTGGGGACTGAAAATAAGAAGCACAGGCTGGACATCTTGGACATATTTATAAGACCGAACCTAACTGCTGCAGAGACCTATTCTTTACAAGAAAATTTGGAAGGTGTATAAAAATTCACAACCTTTTGAACCGAAATCTCAAAAATGTCAAATTGATATTGTTTTGCAGAGCCTCCTCTGACCATAGTGAAAATTAAATAGGCATTTAAAAAAAAAAAGATAACAGACTAGTCCCTGAGCGATTGTATAGTAAGTAGGTTGGACATTTGCTTTATACACGGCTGACCTGGGTTCAGTCCCCAGCACCCCATATGGCCTCCAGAGCCTGCCTGGAGTGATATCTGAGCGCAGAGCCAGGAATAAGCCCTGACCACAGCCAAATATCAACCCCCCCCCCCACCCCCTACCCAAAAAAGAAAAAGTGACAGGCAAACAAACTCCCATCTGTTTGGAATTTAGAATTTGACAAACATATCTGAAGAATTCATAAGAAGGGCCAGAGCAATAAGGAGGTAAGGAGCATCTATTTTCAGGAGATAGAAAAAGAATCAAAGTAAGCAGAAATGACTAAGATGAATAAATAACACTACTTAGAGCCAACAGTGGTAGTTCTTACAGGAAGAAGAGGCATATCTTTGTTGAATTGTGACTTTAATTTTTCTCAACTATGGTTTATTTTGTTCAGTGCACAGGGGAAAGAATAAATTTTTCAATAAGTGGTTATCTGTATGGGGGAAAAGAATCTTTAAGGGGCTGGAGCAATAGTACAGCGGGTAGAGTGTTTGCCTTGCACGCAGCTGACCCAGGTTCGATTCCCAGCATCCCATATGGTCCCCCAAGCACCGCCAGGAGTAATTCCTCAGTGCAGAGTCAGGAATAACCTCTGAGCATTGCAGGGTTGACCCAAAAAGAAAAAAGAACTTTAAAATTTTCTTTTCATCATGTGCATACGGTATCTTGAAATAGACTCTAGACATAATACACTATAACACATCTGGGAGAAAAAAATTAGTGATCTTGGTGGGCCAGAGAGATAGTACAGCAGGTAAGATGCTTGCCTTGCATGCAGCTGACTGAAGTTTGATCCTCAGCATCCCATATTGTTCCCCAAGCACTTTGAGAGAGCATAGCCAGGAAGGACCGCTTAGCATCACCATGGTGTGGCCCAGAAAATAAAAAACAAAAAGAAAATCTTAGCAATCTTTAATGTAGACAGATTTTTTTTTAATACGAAACAATACAGAATACAAACACCTCCTTTTGTGCTGATTATGTGGCTCAACAATAGGGCACTTACTTGCCTTACTTGTGTAAGACCCTGGGTTTGATCCCTGGCTGAGAGAACAAAACAAAACTTGGAAACTGTAGAATTTGGTAAAGAGATAACGAGATACTTATTCTTGAATGCCTGCAAAAAAGAATTAGGGTTTTTTCCAAAAGAGATCAATTGTAAGAACTTCTATCTGATTACTTACTGATTCAAATTTTTATTTGTTAAAGGTTTGTCTTTTCTTCCTCTTCTCTCTGCCCCACTGTCCCTCTGTAGGAGAGATTTGAAGCACTTTTTGCCATCTATGATGACCATGTTACATTTCAGTTGTTTAAAAGCTTTAGAAGAGTCAGAATAAACTTCAGCAAACCAGAAGCAGCAGCACGAGCACGGATAGAACTCCATGAGACTGACTTCAATGGGAAGAAGCTGAAGCTGTATTTTGCACAGGTATTTGAACAGTGCAAGGGATACTGGACTCCGTCCAAAACAGGATCAGGTCTCTGTTCTCTGTATCCAATCTTTTTTTGCTTATCTGTTTTGGGGCCACACCCAACAGTGCTCAGGGATTACCCCTGATCAGTCCCAGCAGGCTCCCAGAACCAAATGGAGTGTCAGGGATTGAACCCATATTCAAGGCAAGCGCCTTGCTTGCTGTACTATCATATCACTCTTACCCCCATACTTTTTTTGGTGGGAGGCTTAGGGGGACCATACTGGTGATACTCAGGGGTTATTCCTGGCTCTGCTCTCAGGAATCACTGCTGACAGTGCTCAGGGGACCATTATGGGATATTGTGGATCAAAACCACATTGGCTGCAGGTATGGCAAGCACCCTACCCACAGTACTATACCTCTAGCCCTAACTCCTGTAATTTTGGGGGAATTTTTTGCTTGGTTAGTTGATTTTTTAGCCACACCCAGCTGTTCTCAGGGGTTACTCCTGGTTCTGTGCTCAAGGATCACTCCTTCAGGCTCAGAGAATCATGAGGTGTTCTGGGATTGAATCCAGGTCAGCCAGGTGCAAGACAAGTGCCTGCCAACCATACTATCTCTCTGGTATACTATCCCTTTAGTTTTAGGATTTAATTCTACATTATGACTTCTTGACAAACCAATTTCTGCTTAGAAGGACTGGTTTTGAGGATACTATCTCAAGTAAGGTTTTAGCTTTCTACTCATGTATTAAGTGGACTATCTGCTTATTTGGGGACAGATTGAGAAAACTTAGCCTGCAAAGTAAGAGGGGAAAAAATTGTGTCATTCTCCAACTGCATATCTAAAAGAAAGATACATTTGGTGGAGTTACTAGAGTGGCCATGATAGTACCTAATATAAAATTGGAGTTGAGTTTTTAACTGCCATTCACTGTACATTTGTTTAATCAATTCTTTATTCAACAAATATTTATTGAATACTTACTGTGTGTGACTCTGTGCAATGTACCAAGTATTCAGAGACAAATACACAGCCACTTGCAGATTCAATCCAATAGAAAGTTGTCAGTTTCTCCAAAGAGAGGTGACCATTGGCGAAAAGATGAAAATGAAGCAACAATAGCGCAGTCGCAATGTGGTATAAGTATCTCCTTCCCTTCAGGTTCAGACTTCTGGTGAAGCACGGGACAAGTCCTACTTACTGCCACCCCAGCCGGCCAAACAGTTCCTCATCTCCCCACCAGCCTCTCCGCCAGTCGGCTGGAAGCAGGGCGAAGATGCCACACCAGTTATCAATTACGATTTGCTCTGTGCTGTTTCCAAACTGGGGCCAGGTAACCAACGTGTCTCTCTCTCTCTCTCTCTCTCTCTTTCTCTTGCGCGCGCGTGCGCGCGCGCTCCATGCAACTTTCGTATTCAGGACCATAATCATTTTTCTTCAAGGAAAATTAGTGGCAAAATGGTAAGTATAGAGGATCAGATCACACAATCCTGGACCCAGGTGCTGGCAATTGCTTACTGGTGAACTTGGGCAAATACTTAAGTTCCATGTTTCGATCTTCTGTTTTCACATTTTCAAAATAGTCAACATCCTTTTACCTTTCGGAATGGTTAATTAAATGATACATATATTTTGCTCAGTAAATGTAACTGTAGTTTTTTGCTCCTATACATTCAGGCAGCTAATGAAAATCACAGTTGATGCTTTCTCTTTGCCCCTTTAATACCAGGCAGAGGGGTTGGAGATATGACTTAGTGATGGAGCATTGACTTGACTGTTTAAGGCTTGGGTTCAGTTCCTGAGCATTACGTGCAAAAAAAAAAAAAGAAATTGAAAATAGGGCTGGGTGGTGGCAGTGGTATATGTAGCACATGCCATGCATGTGTGAGGTCCTGGATCCAGTCCACAACACTGCAAAAGCAAATACAAAAAAATAATAACAAAAACAAAGCTGATAATTCTACATTGAATAGGACTTCATGGAGTTGGTGATAATACTGATCATTCTTTCCACATTACTTTTTTTCTTCTCTATCTCTTTCTTAAATAGTGGTATTTAAAAAAAAAAATCAGTGACAGGGCCAGCAAGATAACTCAGAGGACTCGAGCTCATATTTGACATATAGAAGGTCCAGGATCAATCCCCGGCACTCACATGGTCCCTCACATCTCCAGAGCCATCCCCAAACACTGAGTTGCCCCTGACCACCGCTGGAAGTGATCTAAAAATAAATGAGTTGCGCTGCGTTCAAATTCATTGTCCACCAAAGATAATATTATTTCTTAGTAGCTTTGCCTTGCACACAGCCAACCTCAGTTCAATTTCTAACACCAAATATGATCTTCCAGGAGTAATCCCTGAGTGCAGGCCAATAACCAAAACCAAAACAAAAAAAATTAAAAGCCAGATAATAGAGGGGAGATGAGATATTTTGAGAGCAAGTGTCTTCAGTGGTGATTTCAACAGTGCTCTACCTCAGGCGGCTGGGTCCTATCCATAATAAAGAGTTTGTAGATACCACCCCGAACCACAGCAGCATCTCCCAAGGAAAACAGAAACCTTTCCAAAGTAACATTAGCTGTCATCTGCGTTTATTTCCCTCTTCCCTCCCCTTCGTTGCTGATGTTGCTGTGGAATTCACACTTGCCATTGAGAGGCTTCCTGGAGGCCCCACACATTTTCCCTACTTGCAGCTCAGCACACATGCTTCCCAAGAGACACACAAGCCTAATTCTGCTCTGTGGCTCAAGTGTCCCAGACAGTGAAGTCACCTGGACCACATTCAGGGCTTCCATATGGCACCAGAGATCGAACTCATGGCCTCACACTTGTGGAACAGGCATTGCTGGTCATCTCCTGGTCACTAAATTTGCATTTTAGCCTCCCTTGCATCACCCCTCAATAGTGCTGCTTTTTTTTTTTTTGAGGGGTAGGGGACAGTGCTAGGTAATGAATCCAGAGCCTCAAACATGAGGGGTATGCACTCTTCAGCCCCACTAGCACCCTTCTTGAAATGGCAAGACTTTGTATGGACTTTAAAGTCTCTAGGGCCCCAGGATGTGGCTCAATAAATAACCATTTTAATTATGAGTAGATAAAAGTTTGAAGAGACGAGAGCCTTGTAAGCCTATAAGCCAGGTATAAGGCTTATCCTGTTTCTCATTTTGTTTGCCTCCACAGGAGAGAAATACGAACTCCACGCAGGAACTGAGTCAACGCCCAGTGTGGTGGTTCACGTCTGTGAAAGTGAAACTGAGGAGGAAGAAGAAACCAAAGCCCCCAAACAGAAAATCACCCAGACCAGGCGCCCGGAAGCTCCAAGCACAGCAGCAGCTGAGCCCCAGCCCCAGCCCTTTGACTGCACACTCTGAGGCCTCAGGGTGGGGGAGGCAGCTGCCTTCCTGGGCTTCAGTACCGGGGATCCCACCCTCTGCTGATGTCAGCATTGCTGCTAATGTGTGGGTGCAGCGAGCAGGGAACGAAGCGCTCCCACTCTTGGATGCCCGGTCAGAGGGTGGCCGCTGATTGTACTTACAATGGCAACTGATACTCGCAACAGCACTTTAAAGGATTGGCCCCAGCACGTGGCAAATCTTGACCATTTCTAAACAATAACAATTACTCCCCGGCCGTGCTCATTCCTCTGATCCTGTATAGCATGGAGTAGCCCAAAACTGGAGTGATCGTCATTGAGTGCAGTACCATTTTTATGAATTAAAAAAAAATAGTCTTAGAATTTTAATAATCTAGTGTGGGTATTTTTGTACTGGTGTGATAGCTTCTCACTAATCTATGGATCAAAAATGAATTGTTTTATTCAGCAGACACGAAAAAAATGGGGTTTTTTTTGCACGAGAGGAAGCCTGAAACAGGACAGTTCATAGTATTCTCTAGTTTGGGGGATGAAGTGCCAAATGCACTTTGGATACCAGAATCACAGGCCCTAAGCTTTGCACGTGTTCTTCTCTGTTAGCCCTGCTTGGAAAGGGGAGGAAGGTGACGATGCTCAGGCCGCTGTTCCCTCGCTCGGTTCCTCCAGAGAAAATACTGCTCCTTGGGAAGCAGACAGTCTCACCAGTAAGCTTGACTCATTTTGACCTCAGGTGGCTGCTGCCACATGCCCTCTGTGACCATGTTCTAGTCTGTAGTGCACCAAGTTGTCTCCGGCGCCTGCTGAGTTTGCCTGTCATGCACTTCCTGTGTGTGAGTCTCAAGCTTGACAGTAGGAAAGGACATGATGAGGTTTTAGAGATGACCCGCTTTTAGGTTGTGCCCTTCAGCATTTTCTTGCTAGCTTTGAAGGAGAAGCTGTGGCCCTCCTGTTTCTATTGTCTAGGCAGCAGTGGAGATTATTTTGTTAGCCAGGACTTCCTTTTTGGTGAAATGTTTGACCCCGGCATTTAGTTGGCATTTTCCCCTAACAGAATTGTTTGCTTGTATTTCAGAAACTTAACATTTGAACCTCCTAAACTAGAAGCTAGCAGCTCTTTAACTCTTTGTCATAATTCTTTGTTGTCTGTTAAGACTTTGAAGTCCCCGCCCAGGAAAGCTCATAATTCAGAAGGCTTTGCTCTTGGTCTGAGGCTCCACCAGTTCAACTCACTGTGCTGATTTTCTTTCTAAAGCAAATGAAAGGCCTGCCTGGTAGGTCTACTGGGGAAGTACGTAGGAGTTTAGACTAATGAACCAAGGTGGCTGCCCCTGTTAAAATGTAAAATGCAACCCACGCTGTCTGCATATTTTTGGTAACATTACTGTAAATAAGATGCGCTTCTTAGGACAGTGTCTCTTTGAGCTCTGGACCAGTGGCTAACAAACAGTTGCTGTGTGCGTGAGCTCAAGCACACACACATTTTCAGTTTGTGTCTGTTCATCCTGGTGAAAGCCTCAGTGTCACTCCAGATGAAATGTGTGATTCCATAAGCAGTGAATTCAGTTCAGACAATTAGCACTTTGACAGCCACCCAATAAATTGATGCTGTAGTTCTAAATTAACCATTTTGCCAGTTTTTACACTTACCTGGTTGCAGAGTGGACCCTGTAAGTCGGTGAGTGCGTGTATTTTCAACAGTTGGGAATAGTTTTATTATATATAATAATTCATCCACTATTACTTTCTGAGTGACCCAAGTCCATAATATGTTATTGTTTGATTTCTATCTTCCAATTAAAGGTACTCTGTTCCTGACTATAAAACTTCATTTAATGTCAAACATTACAAAGTACCCCAATTTTTATTTTTCTCTGGTCCATATTTTAAAGAATAGTGAATACATTGAAGAAAAATAAATAATATATTAATAAATGTATTTGTTAGTATATTATTTAATTTGTATTGTTTTTCTAAATGGAAAAGATTAATTTTTCCTTATTTCTTGTATATTTCCATAAAATGAACTCTAAGAAAAATTATAAATGTGCATGTACTTGGTATCAGAAATCGAACCCAGGACGTCATTCCCCTGAACCATGTGTCAGCCACTGAGCTATATGGCTTCCCACCCAGTTACTTTTTTTTTTTTTTTTTGCTTTTTGGGTCACACCCAACAATGCTCAGGGGTTACTCCTGGCTTCACACTCAGGAATCACTCCTGGCAGTGCTCGGGACCATATGGTATGCCGGGGATCGAACCCTGGTCAGCAGTGTACTAGGCAAACGCCCTATCCGCTGTACTATTGCTCTGCCTCCCCCCCAACCCTCCGCCAGTTCCTTTTCTGTTGTGTAAGGTCAGCCATGGACTCAACAGGTGTGGGACCATTTTTTGGCTATTTTCTATATACTTTATGAAAATTATTAAAAAAAAAAAAGGGGGGGGGCTGGAGAGAGAATTCAGTGGGTGTGGCACTTGCCTACCATGTGGCTGATCTGGGTTCAATCACCAGCATCCCATATGATTCCCCAAGTATCGACGGGTCAGTGTCACTGTCACTGCCCTCCCGTTTTTCATCGATTTGCTCGAGTGGGCCCAGTAACGTCTCCATTTTGAGACTTGTTGTTACTGAATTTTGCATATTGAATACCTCACGGGTAGCTTGCCAGGCTTTGCCATGCAGGTGAGATTCTCTCGGTAGCTTGCCAGGCTCTCTGAGAGGGGTGGAGGAATTGAACCCGGCTCGTCCGAGCTGGCTGCTGTGCTATAGCTCCAGCCTCTTCGACATCTACAGGTAATTTCCTGAATACAAAGCCAGGAGTAACCCCTAAGCATGGCAGAGTGTGGCCCCCCAAACAAAACAAAAAATCCTGAACACATTTCAATTGAAAAAATGTATATGTTTTAGGTTTGGTTTGGTTTGGTTTGGGGGCCACACCTGGCCGTTCTCAGGGCTGACTCCTGTCTCTACATTCAGGAATCACTCCTGGTGGGCTTAGGAGACAGGATCATGAGATCAAACCTGATCAGCTGCTGTACTACCTCTCCGGCCCATTATCTATATTTTTTCTTTGAAATTCATTTGTCACTTAAATTTAACTCATCATTTTTTAGCCATATTTTCTCTAGAAGCCGTGCTTCTGTCCAGAGAGATAGTACAGCAGGTAGGGTACTTGCCTTGTATGTAGCCAACCCAGTTTCAATCCCCTGGCATCCCATATGATCCCCTGAACACTGTGAGGAGTAATTGCATAGCTAGGAGTAACACCTGAACATCACTGGGTTTGGCCCCAAGCCCCCCCCCAAAAAAAAGAAAGATGCTTCTTTTTAGAATAAAATTTAGACAATTGTGGGGAAAGAAAATGATGTTTTGTTGGGGGGCATAAAATGAAGGCTAGGAAAAGCGTAACACTTAAGGATGGTCAATAGAGGTTGTGAAGTACTGGTTCTGATGACCAAGGTTCTCTCAACACACCCATTGATGAACATAAATAAATCCTTTTAGAAAATGTACTGAGGTGTATATGAGTGGTACAGGTGCTAAGATGCAGGAATGGTAACAGTTGCCTTACCTTGGCAAATTAAAGTCAGCAGGTAGAAAGCAAATTAGTCTTGGGGTCTAAATAGATAGTACAGGAATTCTTTCGGTATATCAGACTCACTGTCTGCAAATACTTCTTTTCTCCATTTGCACACTTCATTCCTTTTAGAGGTGGAATTGGTTGGTCTTTCCTATCCCCAACAGCCCCTTGCTATTTGTTCACATGCACATCGTCCTAAACAAAAGGAAAATATTTGCAGTAATTGTAAACAGAGTAAGATGTAGGAAAATAATTGCCTCCTGGCTAAGATTTAAAGTCTTCTAGAAGTTCACCTTTATTTTTCATTTTGGTTTCTGGGTCATACCTGGCTAGGTCTACTCCTGCTGATCTTGGGGAACAAGGATGTGCCAGGACTCCAACCAGGGCCTCCTGCATTCAAGCATGTGCTCCAGTCCTTTGAGCTGTTTCCCAGCCCCTAGAGGTTCACCTCTATAAAAATTAAGGATTTATGAACTTTGTCCCATAGTGTGATACTATTTTTTTCATTTCCCTTGTATGGGTCGGGCATAGCCTCAATTTAAAATGTTACTCGCTTTAATCATGAATCATCAAGGTATGATTTGCTGCAGCTTGTCATTACCAAATATACAAGCAACAAAAACAGCTAAAAATGGTAGCAGCTGCTAGATTAACTGACCAAAAAGATTATTAAAAACGTTGCTATTCAAAATCATTTCTTGCCAAGGTTCAGAAGAACTAAACTTGGGCCGAGTCAGTGTGACTGCCCTTTTAAACAAAAGTTTAAATACCTTTTTACTAAATGAGGTATCTGAGTTTTGTCCTATATAACTACATTTTGTTTTTGAGACAAAATTGTGTCCTAAAAATTCTTGGCGCTCCTACGTTGTTTTGACTGGATATTTGTTGTTCTCATAACCGAGACTAATATCTATGCAGATAATCTGTGTTTTTTCTATTTAGTCCACGCTCAAATTGGGAACTGAGGTGAGCTGCAAGTGGCTGATCTTGTTTCTCGTGCCATAATCTTCCCTCTGCTTCTCAGACTAGGGAGGGGGGCCCGGCGTCTACTGATTTACATTTCTGCTGCATCATGAATAGCCTCCAAGTTTAAGAGAAGTTTCTCAATCAGTGCTCTATCACTTGAACCCAGGAGTTGAATGTATTATCTGGAAATGTTTGTGGTCCTATGTTATATTTGGGGGGTGGGTGTATGTTATCTTTCTGGTATATTATACACTGTAGTAAGCATTCATTGTACTTCAAGAATCTGGGTGTAATTTATATACATGTATTCCATATTTTAGTAAGCTTTAAGTAACAATCCGTAGTTTGTAGGAGTTTGTTGTTATTTGTCAACTTTGCTATCTTGTATTTAAGGACAATGAAACATTCCTTGTCCCATCAAGATGACAGAATGTAATCTGGGGGAATTCTTTGTGATTGACTGTAACAAGTTTTGTTTTTAAAACTAATAAAAATAAAGTTAGTGTTCTTTTTATCAGTCTGCTGAATTAAGTTCTATGTGATTTTTGTTTAAATCTTTAACAAATAACATGAGATGCTTTTTACTTAAAATGTCTGAGGGTAGGGCCATAGAGATCTTACAGTGAGTAGGGCACTTGCCTTGCACAGCTGGGTTCAATCCCCAGCACTCCCTATTGTCCTTCAAGCACAACCAGGAGTAATTTCTGAGTGCAGAGTCAGGGTATGGCCCAAAAGTTAAAAAAAAAAAAATTAAAAACACAGACAAAAAATCTTGGGGTTGCACTTACTTGAAGTGAGGGACTCCCAGGTGGTGCTTAGGACGCCCAGGGGCCACTTCCAGCAATATTTGGACAACCAGGCTGAGTTAGTGCTAGGGTCCAAGGAGGCAGTGCTGCTCGGTCCCTACAGTGATAGGGACCACCAGGGACATGCCAGCAATGCTTGAGGGCCACCAGGGCCACAGCTGATGATGCCCGGGG